GTCCAAGCTTTATCCCAACTATTTAGGGTGGGCTACACAAATCCTGTTCCACCATTCCACTTTATCAAGGGTCATATATCTCTTCTCACTACTTATGTCCATGTCTTTTTGGACCTTCCCTTACCCTTTCAGAGTCTTCCGCTTGAACTAAATCGCTCCTCCTAACTGTTGTTCTAAGCCAACACTACACATGTCCAGACCCAGACCACATAAGTCTACTCTCCTCCATCTTATTGCCTATTGGAGCTACTTCTGAGGTCCCTCAGATGTATTTATTCTTAATTCTATCCTTTGTTGTCTTGCCACTGATCTATTTCAATATCCTCATCTTAGCTACGCTTATTCGATGGATATATTGTTTTTTGACCGCCCAACATGCAGTTTCATAAAACATGGCTGCTCTTACAGCTCTCCTATAGAACTTCTTTTTTAGTTTTATTGGTACGGGACGGTCACATGAGACTTCGGAAGTACATCTACTTCGTTCGCCCAACTCTAATCTATGCGCGACATCTTCCTCAAATCTCTCTATTCTCATGGAATATCAACCCAAGATATCAAAAATAATCTCTTTTACGCACTCCTTGGCCATCATGTTAACTAATTGTTTTTTCTCATATTATTACTAAACTTGCAATCCAGATATTTTATCTTAGTCTGGTGAATTTTAAAATCTTTAGATTCTAAAGCATCGCTCAAAAGTTCTAACTTTGTATTGACGATGTCTATAGTCTCATCAATCAAAGTCATGTCATCCATAAACAACGGTCACAATCCCCAATTAAGATCCTTTTTAGTCACGGAACGAGATCTTTATAAGAAAGGGATCGAGCTCCCTTGATGGGGGGAGTGAGCCCCGCTCGGGCTCTGGCTTCAGGATTGCCGGAGTGAGATTTCAAGGGAGATAGTACTCCTTAACCAAACTCCTAGCGTCTATTACATCAACCAAATTGTATGGGCCTTAGAAATTATGGGTAGAAATGTCACTGATACAAATAATTAAATGTTAAAAACAAGTTTTATGTTATCTTCATAAATAAAGTGTTACAAAATGCATAATTGTAATTAATTCAAAATTGAAAATTCACAAACCTTTAGTAACACAATTCTTTTACAATACTGCTGATCCTTTCTATCTTTTGTCCCTAGGGCCCTATGCTGTTATTTCCTGACACAGTGAGGGAGGCACTGAGGGTTTTACTGGGCAAGTTCATCTCTTGGATTTCTCATAATACTCTCTTTCTCTCTCTCTCTCTCTCTCTCCACCCCTGCACTTTTTATACGCTAACTACTCGTGTTGCGCTTGGAATGCTTTTGCAGATTCTAGAAATCATCCAATATTGATCCATTGTAAAAAAGGGAAGGTGCGTAAGTAAATCTATAATAATAGTTTCTTAAGAAACCACTAGCCCAATGTTATTGGTTTCAAATCCCATGCTTGAAAAATTTACCTGACTGTAAAAGTAAAATGGTAATTTGTATGCAGAGGCAGACGAGCTGCTTGGTGGGTTGTCTTCGCAGGGTGCAAAATTGGTGCTTCTCTTCTGTGTTTGAGGAATATGAGAGGTATGCAGGAGGAAAGAATCATGTTAACGATTTACAATTTATCGAGCAATTTGATGTGTCAAATGCAAGAGAATATTGTTTCAGTCAGCTTCCTGTTACTTGAGATAAGAAATTGGAGTTTGAGAGTAGTCTAATGTAGTGAGAGAAGCACAAAAGGGGTTGTTCCCATTTTGATGTATATACATAGCTGTAGATGGTGTTAAGAAAGGCATGAAATTATGGACCTTTTTGTTGATATATCATACGTAACCTTTTCTTCGAGAAGTATCTTCATTGCTCCTGGATGCTGACTGTCACAACCACGATATTGACCCCGCTTCCTTTGCGATGTTCGCCTTGTTTGCTGAAAATGCTTACTACCCCGTTTCATTTTCTTTTGTTTTTCTTCGGACCCAAAAACCCAATAGTTGCAATTTGCAAGGGCTTAGCCCTCTCAGCTTTGCCCCCATTTGGATGTCCAGTTAGTTATATCCACGGCATATCTTTAGTTGCCTTATATGTCCAATTGTGAGAAACCAGTCTTTAATGGTTATAAACTTATAATCAAGTGGTAGGGTAACCACTTTTTTGGTGTTAGTGATGAAAGAGGTTTGCCGTCTTGTACCCATTAAAGAAGCAAAATGTTGATGAGGCGGCATTTTGCCAATAAGCAAGGTTCTAAAAGTTTAATACTGTTGTGAATAGTAGCATGCCAACTTAACGCGCAACCCATTCAGGTGCAAATAATCGGGGAGATCTAATGCTGCAGCCATAAAAAGGGGTGCATCTGAATGGGCCTTAGTGTTTAGCTCATGAGCTGTAGCCCTATGGCTTTCTGTTCAAATAATTAAACACTCATGAAGCACCAGAAGCTTTGTTGGCCTCTGGGCTTATCTCGACTACGATGCCTATGTTTTGCTGCATTTTTTTTATTTTTTTTGATAGGACGGGAATGACTCCTAATTTTGTGTGTTATGCATGCATGTCATCCGTGTTATGCATGCATGTCATCTAAGTTGTCTCAATAACTTCTTTGCATGCACTAAGGATGCGGGAAAGGTTATTCAATTAGGTAGAAAAGGAAAAAGTTTATATAAGATTGCAATCTTATAAACTAAAGTAAGGTATAAACTAAAGTAAGGTGCATCTCAAGAATCTAATATAAAAGTGAATTATGAAGTTGCAAAACTTTCCAATTAATTATCTCGTTCTTAAGATATATAGATATAAAGAAAAAATAATTTAAGTCTTAAAATTAGTGTATCTTGTGACAAGATATTGTACCGTCTATTTTTAAGATTAAGATGAGAAAGTGTTTACAAATTTGTTTGATTTACATTGTTTTTGAAATTTACAAAATCATAATTAGAGTTGAACATGGATTTTGAAGTCAGGTTTGCAACATCTGTTCAGGCAAAATTTAGAGGTACATCTTATTTGTGTGGTATAAGGTGTACACCTTACACAAACTTCACCGGTGGAAAAAGGGTGATGGGGGTTATATTTATCACTTGTACACATGCATATGAGGAGAGTGGGTGGCACACGAGGTGGGAAATTTACTCAGGAACGGATAGAAGGGAAAGATTGAGCTTTTTTCCTGTCATCCCTTTCTGAAATATCCTTGGCTTCTTGTTGCTGATCTCCTCAGTTCTTAGTCAAAGGACAAGGAATTCCAAGGCTCCTTGTACCTTAAATGTATTGCTAATGAAAATATAAGGCAATATATATCAAGATACAACCCACTTTTTAACTATTTAGTTCTACCATTCCAACGCAAAATAATGTATATTTTAATGAGCATTTTGAAATTAAATCAAAATAGATGGGTAAAATGTTAATTCATTAGTACCTTGGGTGCAATTTGACAAACTTCCCGAAAAACATAAGGAAAATTGTGCAAATAGACTCTACGGCATAATGTTTATTGGGTGTGGTTTCTATAAGGTTGGAACTTTAAGCAATCCAATTAAGGTGCACCTCTAAATTTTATCATAATATATAATTTGGGAGTAAAAAAATATCTGAAAATCTATTTTCATATCTAATTATACAATTTTAAATTTCAAAAATGGGTAAAATAAAGTGGATCTATAAACATATGAAAGATTGAAAATTGACTGTCTAGATAATGTGGTGCAATATGCACTATTTTTGGAACTTAATATCTTTTTTGTTTTTCATATTCATTAATTTCAATGTCTAGATGATCAATTAAAGGGTTTTTCAATATTAAAACAATATTTTTTGATGGATTTTGGAGGTGCATCTGTAATTCTACATTTTAAGGTTGCAACCTTATATAAACTTTTTCTATTTTTATCTTTTTTTTGTGTTTTTTGACTACGAGCAATACTGCCCTAATAGACGGCATTAAATATTTCTTTTAGGTGTTTGCTTTGGAGTCATCCCTCAGTGACAGTTTCAATTGCAGTCATTCCACCAAAACTGAAGGGGCTTAGGGATTCAGTTGCAAGGTTTTCCGTACCGTGTCAGATGTTACGATTGAGAACAATGGTTTAAAAAACGG